TTAGATGAAAAGTTAGTGATTGAGCGGCTCCTTTGTTTAGTGTCATCCGCAATTTTTGGATATTTTATCTTCATCTATTCATCTAGACCGAGCTCTGGTAAGAAAGTAACGAGGCCAAGCAAAAAATTCGTAAACCTATTCAACTGTTCTCATTTCATCAGTCGGAATTTTGTTTTTGCATTTTCTTTTCAACCGCAAATTTCGCGAGTTCTAGGTGTACACTCCACGAATATCAGCACGTAGGCTTGAACTGGCTTGTGATGATGCATGAAAAGCGGATTCAACTGTATACTTGGTGATGAAATGTGGTGAGATTTTTAGTTTTCACCGAAGCTGGAGCATTTTTTTCTTGCTTCTTATTACGGTCAGTGCTTGATGTAGCAGAGTACAGCACAAGAAAGGACGCTCATCGAACAAAACATCCTTTTCTAATGTGGTGATTTTTTTGAGCGCACTTTTCACCATAAGTGCTTCAAAAATGTTGAATGCGCCACTCATGCGAAATGCAAATTGTGCTTGCGGTTTTCTTTCAATATTTCTACTACGGAGGTTCAGAAGTGAGGGAATGGACTATTTTTTGGAAATAGACACTCGCTTCATGGTTTAGGGTCTCGGCAAGACGATTCAAGTCATAGCCTTCATAGCTTATCTGAAGGAAGCAAACGTTCGCGGTCCGCATCTCATAGTTGTGCCGTCGTCAACGATTGAAAACTGGATGGCGGAATTCATCAAATGGTGCCCAAAAGTTCGCGTATGTTTCTTCATTTGTCTTTCCTTGAACATGCTTCACGACCTTTTACACTTTTCACAACAACATCTTGACTATTTCTATATGTTTTCTCTTTCTTTTATTACAAATTTAAATAATCCTTGAATACGTCTTGACTAAAAATTGATGACTTAACCTAATCTGGCTGTTTTAATTAACAAGAACCGTAACAGTATTTGCCCTGTGCCGATTGGAGATCTGTCAATCGACATTGTAATCTCCTTAGAACACTATTGACGTTTGATTATTATCTCTTTGGTTCATCATTTACTGCTCTATAGTTTTGGAATGAGAGCGTGATGCGTATTCTCAATTTTTGCAATTTCAGTTGTTAACTTATTATGGAAGTCAAGAGGAGCGGCGGCAGCTTCAGACACATGGCTAAGAAGAAGAAGGAGAATGTATGAACGTTGTGAAATAATTTTGCAATAGTTTTGCGATATATTTCGTTTTGACCGAAACTTTATTGAAGTGTTGATTCATCTAGATTGATGTCATTCTCACAACATATAATATGATCTCATCGAAGCATGATGACAAGAAGTTCTTTAAGAACTTCAGTATTCATTATGTTGTTTACGACGAGGGTCATATGCTCAAGAACTGTGGTACGGATCGCTATCGGAATCTTATGAAAGTTAAGGTGTGTGATTTTCCCAACTTGTGTTTTTGTTCTTTTTTTTCATGTAGTGAAAATAAGGTTCCAGGGTAAGCGAAAGGTGCTCATGACAGGAACTCCCTTGCAAAATAACCTTATCGAATTAATATCCTTGATGTATTTTGTGATGACTCACATTTTCACGAAGTATTGTGAGGATATCGCTCAACTTTTGCAACATTTCAAACAGGTAACCTTTCAAATATTTTTCGGTAGTTCCCTGGAGTTAACTGAATTTGTTTCAAAATAAGTAGCGAACGTAGAGATTGTGTTTGCAGCAAGGTCCTGCTCTTGAGTCAGGTTCATGTTCCATGTATCAAAAGGATAGGATAGAGCAGGCAAAGTTGATTTTGCAGCCGTACATGCTCAGAAGACTGAAGACTCAGGTATCTGATTACTGTTTTTCTGATGTCACGGAAGAGTTTCAAAATTCGCTTTTCTAGGTTTTATACCACTTGCCAGAGAAACACGAAGAAGTTATAGAAGTGTGGAAATGTTGGAAAATCAAAAAGAGTTATATGAAAATGTATTAGATAGGTAAGTAGCGCCGCTTTATCCAATTCTGTTTCGTCCTTTTCTTGCGACATTCCTATTTGCTTTATACTTTTCAACACACAAAGTTATTCAAGGATTGTGCCTTTTGTAAGGAATTTGTGGAGCCGCCGTCACGACACCATTATTCCGTTTCAGTGTTCGAGGTGTAGACGGGGACACAAACAATGCTTATGGAGCTCTGATGCGTTTGAGACAAGCAGCAAATCATCCACTACTGAGACGGGTTCAATATTACGGATTCGTTGCTGGACAAGCTGGCGAAAACTCTATGTGCCAAAGTGATTGGTTTACTGTTTCACTCCTATTTCAACCCCGCTAAATATTATTTTGCGGAAATTACCCTCATTGTAAGGGATATGGTTAAGAAAAAAAACTTGAAAACTAAAAGTTCCAAATGGCATACGTCTGATCAGGCCTGTCATACAGAACCGAAATAGAGCTCCTTCTTGGACGTTAGTTCTGCTAAAGCATTCTGGTTTCACGCTCTGCGCGAGCAGCCGGTTACGTTTACCCTCGGGTGCTAGCAAACTTTCCACCGCCTGTGTTGAGGTTTTGGGAGGTGGGGCTCATCTTGTGGCAGCATTTCTGCTTGGCTTATATATGAGCTTGTTCTCCTTCTGCCTTAGAAGAATGATGCTTCAACATTATGAAATTGGCACGACGGTATTTCTTTATAAGCTTCAGAAACTTTCCAAACGCTGCCACAGGATACTCGTTGCCAGCGCCACTCAGATCCATTTTACACTTTTCTAGTACAACTCGTAACACTCTTTCGATATTTGTCAAAAACCATGCAGTGCTGACGATTTTTTTGTGATTTCTTAAAATAGTTGCTTGCAACAAAACACATTATATATACAGCGTATGATTTAGGAGAAGCCATACGAGAAGAAAAAGTGGGAAGACGTTGCCAGAAGATCTGTCCTATCAGTCTGATTTCCAAATTCATCAAATATGTGAAAAGTTTCGTAGCACGAAGAAATTTTTGCTCTGCGAAGATTTGGCACTCGAGTCAGGAAAGTGTCAAGTGTTGGACCAATCTATTGCGAATATCAAGGCAAACGCCTACCTGTACACGGTTTTGATCTCGTCAAACGAGAGTACTAGTTAGGGATGACGTTGTCAAATGCATTAAATGTTTTTTTAGGGAGATAAAGTGCTGATATTCTCGCAATTCACTTCAATGCTTGACATTCTCGAGGTGTACTTGCGCATTCGACAATATTCATTCAGACGGTTGGACGGCTCGACACCAGTGATGGATAGGTAAGTTGTTTTGACTAGTGTTGCTCTGCTGGTTCCAAACCTAAATCTATCGCCCATCCGTGTAGACAAGAGATGATCAACGAGTTCAACAATGATCCGGAACTTTGTGTATTTCTTCTATCAACCCGTGCGGGAGGTTTGGGCATCAACCTGACATCAGCAAATCACATAATTCTTCATGACATCGATTTCAATCCATATAATGACAAGCAGGTAGTTGATTGATATTTGTGTTTCTAATATCTTCTATGATTGAAGCGTGTGCGGTAGTACAGGAATCAACCGGAGAGGCCGGGTCGAGTCTGAGATGAACCGGGTTATTGGGCGAACCTTTATCCACAATGGTTGCGGACTAGTTTTGAACTTTCCTTCTATAGTCCTGTCGAATGGTTAGAACACAGGTTGGGTTCCAAATCCCAAGGAGACAGGTGGACCAAGAGTTGGGACTATGGGGTGGGTGAAGTAATTACAGTGTGGAAAGTTCGAATGTGTAAGATTATAACAGTCACGAGCCGCCGTTTAGGTGCGAGAGCGCAGGCGGAGCATTAAACTTGATTGCTGTGAAAGAGACCCAGCTCAAGAATTTCCGTAGGACGATCCGGTGGGATTGGCATTCTACCAAAAACTGGGTGGCAAAAGGCAAAGTCTTAGTTGACGGTTCCATTCATCGGAAACTGAAGAACATGATAATGGCGTGGAAGCAAACAAGGTGGTTCGGTCCTGCCGATCACGGAGCTCCACTGTGGCATGGACTCCTCAAAAATGGGCGCGTGCTTCCCCAAAAAAAATTCACAGGCTAATTACAAGGAGAGCAACAAAAATGTTAAAGAAAAAGCTCAACGTTCTGCGAAAGCTGGAGACCAAATGCCTGCAGTGGGCGAAGCGCAGTAGAGCAGGCGGAGTTAGAATCCAAAAGTTCAAAGCAAGGTTCCAGCTGACGATGAGCCAGGAGGGCGGGAAATAGATAAGAGACCAACTATTGAGAAGAAACAACATGTAATGGGCGGAGTGTGCATCCATGGGCCGTAGCTATCCTATCAGAGGGACGCGTTCCCCTCACTCGACGCTATCCTCCCAGCCGGGTGAGGGACAGGGCTTCGCTATGGGACCCGCCATTTTATGGTTGTTGCCGTAGAGACTCCTTGCTGCTGACCGCTTTATTCCCTGTTTGGTCGCATGACTCCAACTGTCGAGAGGAGGAACGCGGAGGTATGGTGGGTCGTGGCGCATTTCTGTCTCTTTAGCTTTAAGATAACGTCCATTGTCATCGTCATCATCCGCAATCCTTCCACCACGGGATGTGCTCCCCTGGTGGAAGGATTACGTACGGTCCTTTGGCAGGGCTATAATCAAACAAACCATTTTCCCTCCACATTGCTGGCATGTGGCGCAAACGTCAGTCTGCAGAGCGGAACTATCTAGTATATGTACACATAAAACGCTGAGCTGTTATGGCATCTGTTGCGAAATTCGGTATGACCCGTAGAACCGCCCGGGAGAGTTGGCTAAAGTTCGGGATGGTGATTACAGAGCGCACATAAACTTTGTTGAACGCCTAAGGTGGGCCGTTCGAAATGGTCTTACCGAGGACAAAACTTCCATATTCGCTTCCAGTGATCTGGTGAATGCTTGAAGTGAACATCAATTGGAGGGACAAGGTGAAGAGGATTCACGCGCAGTAGGCGAATCCTTCTTTTACTGGCTGCTGAAAGCATAGAGCACTCGTTGGTAGCCAATCGTTTCTTGGGGTGTGCCACGCATTTTAGTGTCAGTCAGGATCGTACTTGGAGTTGAACTCGGTTTGACTTGTGGAGGGGTGGAAGGCTTGGTAGGCCCAGACGATGCACTATCCATGATTTGATCCTCGGCGCGTACGCGTGGAAAGCAGCACCACTTGTTGCTGCACTTCCGTCCTTCTGGGCGATATTTGCACGAGATCCATCACTCGATTATACATAGTTATGTCTAAAATGAGGGTAGCCCTGTGGTCGGCAAGCATGCTTTCACTAAGTGGTGCTTACTACAAAAAATCCCAACTGCTAGGACATCTTCGAGCCCAGGAAAAGTTGATAGACACCAGCGAGGGAGAAGGGTTCACGAAAAATGCACGGAATGGGCATAGTCCAACTCAAAAAAAACTCTGGTTCCACGTCTCTGTCCGTGAATCCCACATGATGCACAGCTTAGTGTGTGGAACCAAGTTGGATATTTGCGAGGCATTCATTAATTCGAAAAGTGTTAGTGCAGGTTTCCAAAAATCTGAGTGATTAGTCATTAGGAGATCCGCAAGTATACGCAGACCTAGAAAATACCTGAGTGGTCCACGCGATGGGTCGCAAGTGAGTCCTTCTAGCGGGTGTTGCTCAATAATGGCCGGAACACTTGTGTGAAAAAGTTGCCATCAGATGAGGCGAGCAGAATGACACGAACTTTTGCTTATATAGCTGTACTCAAAGTGTTGGAAGAAATATTCAAGTCAAGCCATTTATGAGCGCAACGGGAACTGCGTCAAACCGAGCCTTTCATGATAGACTGTATCGGCTTCGAAGCTTTCTACTTATACACCGAATCAGAC